TTTACAGTGACAATGGGGTGCCGTGGTCACTGTGCGAGGTGGCTGCGGGGTCCTCAGCTGTGAGCCACTTTCTTATAACTCTTTTTACCGTGTTGGCAGCAGTAGACTTCCTCATATCAGCAAAGTCGCATCTTGGAGAACGGGCCTGTACCATGGCTCGTTCTTCTTACGTTTGTCATCGTCCCACCTGGCTTTTTTCCATGTGCAGGCGCGATGAGTTCCGTGTGGGACTTGACAGAGGAAGGCGAGGAAGAGAGATCGTAGACAGATCCGCTAGGAGTCACTGACACACTGATGGAGCTGGGTTGTCTTGGTGTTATCTTTTCTTATGTTAGGACAGGCATTATCTGCACACGAGTCTCGAGCGCGCCCGTGCACCTGCTAATTCCTTCAGGGCGCGGTTCAGCGAAGGCGGGGCTGCTCCTTCTCTGAGAGACCGTAAGTAGTCGGTATTTGCATACCTTCTGCAGTCAAACGGCCAAACGAGTGTCCATGTGAAGCTGCGACTGTGCCACGAGGCCGCCCGAGGCGTGCTTACCCTGCCTCCAGGCAGTGCCGTGCGGTGCACACGGATGGACTGACTGTGTGGATTGCGGGTTCACGTCCGCAAGCACAGCATTGCAGCATTGCCAACAGGTCTGCATCTGGAGAGATGGCCTCTGCCAGTGCCTCCTGCTCAGTGATACATCGCATTCAGCTGAGCGACTCATGACTCGACCCGCAGGTCTGGTCAGCTGCTGGCTGTTGCTGTGCAGTCGCGTCTCCTGGCTGTCCGGTGGCCCGGGGATTTGCTGAAATGGCGGGCACGTGCAAGGCCGCAAAGCCGCCTTGGACCTCTGTCGAGGTTGTAGAAGCAGGCCGCCCCGCGACCATCATCGACGTGGCCTTAGTCGACGGGAGTAGAGTCACTTCCACACTGACTCTCCGACACTCAAGCAGCCTCGCGGACGAGGGCGGACATGGCATCATTTCGCAGCACCGCAGCTTTGATCAAGCACAGGTCAGAGGACATGCAGAGGTGGAATGTTGTTGAGCACAGGTTGCACGAGAAACTTATCGAAATAAAGCCCTGCGGTCATTGTGCAAACTGAGTGGACATCAGACAAGTGAACAGTTAGCCATGTAACTTCTCGCTTCTTCACATGTGCGCGTGTGCTTCAGACGCTGAGCCTTGTGATTTCAGCGGCCGCTTCTGTCGGGCAGCTGCACCCACATCCCGATGCTCGTGTTGTAAACCTTTGAAGATGTGCAATGCCGCATGCTGCTCATGCTTCAAATCTGCTTGGAAGACTCGAAGACTCGAAAGCCGCTTTGGGCGGAACCGGCCCCTCTCCGCATCGGATGCAACTGCATCCGGCCGAATCTTCGTGTCCATTGTCGCCTATCGCGATCCAGAACTGACAGAGACCTTGAAGTCCATGCTGTACCATTGCGAAAGGCCGGACTTGGTCCACGTGGGCTTGGTGTGGCAAGGTGATCGGGAGGATGGCGAGCCTGTGAGCGGCGAAGGTCTCAGCGTTCTGCAGAAGCTCTGGAACATCGACGGCTCGGAGCGGAGCGGCGAGAGCGAGATCCGGATTCCGAGCCTTCCCGGCCATCCGAAGTTAAGAGCAGAAAGTTGGCTCGGCGGACGGCTACGAGTGATCTGCATGCCAGCTGGCGAGGCGAGGGGCCCATGCTGGGCCAGGTATCTTGCTCAACTCTTGTGGGGAGGAGAGGAGCTGTACTTACAGCTCGACAGCCACATGCGATTCGTGCCTTCCTGGGATGAGAAGGCCCGTTCGCAGCTGAAGACGTGCTCAAAATATTCCAAAAAGCCCGTCTTGTGCAGCTATGGCAGAGGTTACCCTCTTGGTATGCATTACACGGAAATTCCTCAGAACTCAACGGCATGTTTGAACTGTGCTGGCTTTTTCGACGGCAACAACATCCTGAACATCCGCTACCGATCACTTGTGTGTGACTGGGATGAGCCGCGAGCAAGCTTCTTCTGGAGCGCCCACTTCTCGTTCTCTTCTGCTGATATCTTGAGGGAGGTGCCCTACGACCCCCGACTGCTTATGCTGTTCTTTGGCGAAGAGATCCTGATGACCGTGCGGCTGTTTACGCATGGCTGGGATCTCTTTTCGCCGTGCTCAGGCCTTGTATACCACCTCTGGCAACGAGATTACCGGAGAGTCTATGCCGAGGATATGCGAGACTTGTATCGCGATCTTTGCCACGGCTCCAGGAAGCGCTTGCACGCGTTGCTCGGCTCCGGGCCGCCCCTGTTCTTCGAGGAAAAAGAGCGACGATGGCCATTGCCAGGTGGCGGCCTTGCACCCTTCGACGCCTTCGACTTGGGAAGAAATCGATCCCTTTCGGACTACGAGGAGGCGGCAGGTGTCAGCTTCCGCGATCGGCGTCTGAGTGATTTCGCGCTTCGTGGCGGGGCCCCATCCGAGGAATGCTTCTTGACGCGGGAGGAGGGGGGCCAGAGGGCGGTTGAGATGCAGTGCAGAGTGGACATGCCGTCCGAAAAGTTCCAGTTTGCGCATGTTGCTAATGTAGCATTGAAGCACACGCAAGGTCGCTACTGGTAGATGTGTCGTCATGGTGGCAACAAATCCTGTTTGTCAGTCAGGTCCAGCCCCTGCCTGGGCGAGGCAGGGAATTCGACAGTTGTACATTTGTCACATGCCCCGCTGCAGGCAAAGGGCCCTTCGGCTCCGACACTGTACTGCTGGAAGCAGAGCAGCACACTCGACGGTGTTGATGCAAGTTCATGTTTGCTGGTAGACTTTTACACAGTCAAGCCAAGCAGTTGTACCGTGGCGGTTATCCCTTTAGTCGATGCGTTGTCCGACGAGGCGTCCATTCCGCAGCCCGAGAGTTCTCAAGCCCAATTTAGTTTCTTGATGCGGGTTGTGCGCCGCTTCGGTAGCCGGTTTTCTAGGTAGGGGGCACGTCTCACACAGGCCGGGCGAGTGGCAGTCGACAGGAACTTGCGGATCCAGAAATATTAAGCTTTCGTGTAAACAAGGTTCATGTGCTTACCTCCCGCTGCGCTGGGTAAGTGATTTTGGGGGGGCCGGGGCCAAGAACATAGCGTGACATTAGAGCCGGTCCGTGCAGCCCTCAGGTTGGGAGTTACAGCCGAGAGCTTTTTCACACGCCTTCTAGCATTCCAGCGTGTCCCGAGTCGTGCGACTGCAGCCGACTCACTCAGCAGAGTGACAACTTAAAGCGCATTCGCCGTCAACTCAATGTCCGAGATGCGGAAAGCTTTGCTCGTCCAGTCTTGTCTCTCCATCCACCAGCGTTGAAACAGCAGCCGGTGCCAGCCTACTGGTCTGCCTGGATGCAGTAGTGGACTGTAGATATCGTTTCCTCTTGGCAGATCTCTCGCTGGCGCTTTGCGGATGGCCGACGGTGGGTATGGCGGGTCAGCTCCATCGTTGGACTCTCTCTTCAGAGGCTCGTTTCGTGTTGCGAGAGTACTTTGGTATCGAGCCTCTGCGGCTTCAGGCAAGGCCAAGAAGAAAATCAAGACGCTCAGCTGAACTGAGAGACTCGTCACGTCACAAGCTGAGACTTCCTGAGCCTGAGGCCCATGAACTTCAATCCTGCCTTCAAAGCTGCCGGGCCTACGGTGCCGAAGGGTCCTGCGGCCGCGCTGAGGCACCGCAGAGCAAAGCCCAAGATCTAGAGATGTCCCAACACTAAGAAGCAGCCAGCACCCTGATGCCGATGTGGGTAGGGATGCATGCTGCCATGGGTAAGACAAGACCCTGCGAGGCCTATGAGTGGTAGTGCCTTGGCCGCTCTTATGATGCTCCGGACCGCATTTCCGAAGATCGTTCAGAATGTGTGGCAGCTGAGCAAAGCAGTCGTGTTTCATGCATGTCCCGTGTGAAGCTGAGGTGCCTTCACCGCGCCCAGCTCCAGCACGGAAGGATGGGCGAGAGAGCTCAAGAAGGACGTGGGTTCAGTACATTTGGCTCAGTTGACTTCCGATCTTCTCAACCGTGCTACCGTGCTGCTATGCTGCTGTGTGTGTTGGTCGATGTGCGGTTGTTCGCCTATGGATGAAAAAGCGTTTGTGATTGGCATCAGAGTACGCAGCCAATCACGCCTGTCGCCAGCAGGACCAAGACCTTCTCAAGAGCTGTGGGCTCTGGGTCAAGGAAGTCGAAGGGGACGGGGCGTGCTTGTTTCGAGCGCTACTTGTTGCACCAGTCAGCAGTGGTGTGACACGTTGTGGCTAAGTCTGATACCCGAAGCCCTTGAGCCGAGGTTTGCTGACCAGTTGGTTACAGACGAACCTGACGCTTATGCAACTTGATTGACAGGTCTTGACAGAGTTGCTGAATGCCCAAGGTCCAAAAAACAAAACCCTCTTAGACCAGGAGTGTCGTATTTGTGTGGGGCGTCCTCTCCACTTTCCTGCACCCAAACTTAAAACGAAGATGCCGGAGTGGAAACAGTGCATGACTTTCGCTTACGTTGCCGTAGCAGGCCCCCTGCAATTCAAATGCGTCTAACTGCCGCGTTGCAGTTGCACGGTCGTCCGAGGCGCAGATGCGCGAGCGCTGTGTAGACTTCATGGAGGCCCACAGAGAGGACTTTGAGCCCTTCATAGACGCAGCCTGGTGGCACGGATTTGGGGCATGCATGACTTGCACTCCAACTTGAGCTGCACTGCATGCAAGTGCCGACCTGGTCGCTGAAATGTCGCGGAAAAGCTCTGCAGCACGGAAAAACTTGAAACCCCTAAATTCTGGCAGCACAGCTCTTTCGACTGTTTCTTCTGAGTTACCCTGCAATGCGAGTTTTGTCCTTGCTAGGTAGGAGGGAAAAAAGGAAGCGGAGAGTGGAAGGAACTTTGAATCTTGCTGCTGCGATGGCTCAAACCCATGCAGCCCGAAACTTCCCAGTGAGCTCCGCATCTCTGCTGCAAGACTTCGATCGAGGCGACCGTTTTCGTGGAGTTGTCTGGTGTGCAGTGATCCGAGGTTGGCATGGGACAGTTGCAGCTTCATTGCTGTTGTTGCAGGGAGAGGGCCGCTTGACTTGGAGTGTCAAATGACATGGGATTTGAGCATTCCAAGCACATTAAGGTCATGTCAATGTATAGGATCCCGGCTAAGAAGCGATTACGGTCCTTAAATGGCGACTTAACTTGACGTGCAATCCTTGCAAAGAATCCTTTACGTCGCCAGCCCAAAGGAGGAGTTTGGAGCTCTTCCTGGAGTGGAGCCGATACCTGGACTCCCGGGGTCCGAGGATAAGAACAGCTCCTTGGCGGTGAGACCGCGCACAGAGCATGTCATGGCCTGCCAAAGCGGAGACAGCCGACTCAAAGGGCAGTGCCATTAGGCGTCTTGCAGAGCTGTTGGTCAACTGCAGGCTGTCACTCCCCGGTTTCCGACAACCGATGCATTGATCAAGAGCTGAAGCTTGCCCACGCGGCTCTGCTGGAAATGAGTGCGCTACCGCAGGCATTTTCTAGGTTGCACTGTGACGTGTGGGCCTGGCTAATGCTCGAGGCCTGGGACTGCGTGCAGCGAAATTCCAAGAGCGTCCAGACTGAGGCGCCCTCCCGGATTGCACTGAGATATAGATAACGATCCAAAGATGCTCGCCATTGCAGGACGCTGGCGATGCGCCCAGAAGCCGCGAGGCAACCAGAGATGTGGAGGCAGGGCCACGGATGCCTGCTGGATGCCTGTGTTCCCAAGGACCCTTCAAGAAACACATTGCCGTGCGTCAACAGATGTTGCAATCGTAGGCATCGTAAAGCGGACATAAAGTCGCAGAATGGGCACGAAGGACGTAAAGTCATAACGTGCAAGAAGAATTGAGGACCTGTTTGCCAAGCTGAAAGCAGTCCGCCTTCCTATGACATGAACTCAACAGAACCGCCAGATGGAAAATCAGACATGACTGTAAGTAGCCCATTGGAATCACCATGATGCTGCTGTGAAAGATTGTGCTTGCAAATACGTGTATACATGTGTGAGCAAACCAAAACCAAGTGAGCAAAAACATGCGTGTAGACATACATACGTATATATGTAGAAACAGTTATATGCACATATGAAGTGAGGCTGTGACAAGTGATGGTGCCGTGGAAGCTATTTCAGAAGCTGTAACTGTTGGGATGTTGGCACCTGCCCGGAATGGCTTCCAGTGCATTGAACTCTCAGCCAGGTTCACTGGAGACGAGCGAGAAACTTGTCACGAGCAGGGATTGCCATGCGATCGCTGCTGCAAGAGATACGTGCCGGGGCATGAAGCAGTGCACGTGTGTCAGAGACGGCCAGCCTTATCAGACTTATCGGATGCCCTTCCTTGGAAGGTGAAGGACGCGCGCGGCTCTGCGAGAGTGAGTCGCCGGTGCGTGCGGCGGTGCGCGTGCGCAGTTGGTCGGATGCTTCCGTGACTTGCATCCTGTGAGAGACATTGAGAATGGGGCGGTGTTGTTTGGATAGCTTGAGTGCGAGAACCTCAGGTGATTCCGTGCCCCGAAGGCATCCAACAGAAGCACATGGAGGCTTGTAAAAAGCTTCAGTCGGAGGTACATGGAGGCAGTCGTGCTAATCTGCGAAGCATCGCTCCTGGGCTCAGGCTTCCTCAAGCAGTTCGCACGGATGGCAGCGGGCCAGACAGCTCGCTCGGACCGTCAACGTCATGGGGCACCTGCTCGATGACGTCCGCTCCAAGCAGACTGAGTGTCTCTGCATGACTTGGAACTGCTGTAGTGTTAGCTGGCAAGCCGACGAAGGTTCAGACGGCTAAGCAGCCAAGGGTACCATAAGCACTGCTGTCACTGAGGAGTGTTTACTCCACGGACTGGACTCGGGTACCCCACTCGTCCTCTCCTGCAGCGAGGGCCCACTGGCACCGCTTGAGAAGTGCCGCCGACACGGGGCACGTTTTTCAGAACATGCTAAATGGTGTGCGGAGCCGGCACACGGAGGACATGTACAGCAGGGACTGGACGAATCCCTCATCCCAGAGTGGTCACCAGGCATCACAAGCCTCAGTAGTGACGGTTGGAACTTGAGTTTCCCAGATGCAGCAGCCTGCATGTTGGCAGTGCACTTGTGCGTTATGATGTGTCGGGCAGATGGGAAGAAATCTGTGCATGAGCAGGTTGTGAACAGGTTAGAATCGGTTAGAATAGTAGGTCGGAAATGCAGCACTGCAACATGCCACAAGTGTCACAGCGTATGATGTCACAACGGCATCAGAAAGCAATGTGCGCATCTGCACGTGTTGGGAAGAACCGCTCGCAATGTCTGATTATGAATAGCATTGCTGACTGCCAGTGCCGTGTAGGCAAGGTCTCCATGATCTCTCCAACTAGAACCCGCGAGCGCTGTAAACACTGCCAGAAAACGCCAGTGGCTTGCATTCTGCAAAAAGGTCTACTTACATATCATGCCCACGAGGCCCACGACTTCACACTTGCAGCAGCAATTCAGGCCACTGACGCACCAGAATGCTTGTGAAACATGTTCGGCCAGAAGAATTTGATTTAAAGGAACAGCCTGGCTTGAAGTCTGAGGTGAAGTAACCGCACTGTTTTGCAGGCATGAAGAAGAAGCTTACTGCAAGCTGCTTGATGCAGTCATGCCCGCTGTTTGAAATGCTGTTGAAACAGCGGGCCGAGCTGACGGAAGAAAAGAGCAAGCAGCAAGCTGTCGTGCTGGAGCTCGCCTTTAAGTGTCGGGCCCACAGTTTCAAGCAGTCTCCCTTGCTGCCAGCCCAGGAAGACTTCGAGGGCTATTGCAGCACCTCACCTGCAATGGACAGGCTGGAGTCGAAGGCAGTTGGGGCTGAGCAGAAGGCGTTTTTTGTATTGCAGTTCTTACATGTTCTTACTTGTGCCAAAGTCTGGGAGGTGGCCTCGGGCACTTTGCCTTCGAGTTTACCACTTCTAGGTTTTAGTTGTTGTGTGGGAAGCCGCAGCAGGCTTTGGTTGAATTAACTCTACATGCTGAACCACTCCCCATCCCCATCAAGTAAGGTCGCATGCGCCAGAAGTGCACCTGGGGAGGCCACGTAGAGGCGCGTGTCTTGTTCACCATATTGGGCTGTCAAATTAGATGCAGCCGTGTCTGTCCGAGACTTTTCCTTCCTGATGCAGTGAAGTCACTCTGTCTCTTATCTATTGAGGCTGGCTGCTGGCTGTCTCGATTGTTTAGCAAGCTAAAGCAATGACGCTTTCTGTAGCTGAGCCTCCACCAGTTTCTGAATACATGACTCGAGATCACGTTCCCGTGACCAGGTCCAGGCATTGGCACGACTGAACGGAGTCAATGCTGCACCTCGCCCCAAGCCAGAGGAGGGGAAACTGCTGATTTCTGGCAGCCGCTTGGGGCCGGCAGTACCTGCACTTGAAGTAGGCTCGTTGCTGACGCATGCACGCATACACACAGAATGACGCACTTGCACTGTTTGCTTACTTGCTTACTTGCTTCCTTTCCTACTGACTTTCTTTCTTGAACGGGCTTTCTGAGCGAGTTCGTCGAAATTTCAAGACTCATGTGTAGACACTGTCGAGGTCATCTACCAGCCTTCGCAAGCATCTGGCAAGCCCGACCAGATCCTGCGGTCCGCAGTTGAGATTATTGCGAGCTCAGAGGATGCACGTTGTGTGCAGCCCCTTGGTTTGCCAGGCATGCCCGGTATCAGAGAGCTGCAAGATGCCATGCAGGAATCCCCGAGTGCTTGTGTGCATGGTGACATGGCGAGATCTTAGGTTATCCTTTCATCCGACGCACCACGCCGGACAGCATTACAACTCAGTCAGGCCAGCAGAAGGGCGCATGGCACATGCTTCCGCATTAAAGTTTGGTCTTACTGCTGTGCGCCGGTGGGACCGTGTCTTTTGGCAGATGGCAAGTTCTGCATCGCCTTCTTACGGGCAAGCTGCAAGAAGACACACTATACCACAGAAAGAGCAATACTGTTTGCGTGGACGTTCGGCAGAAGGAGATGATGAGACTACAACAAGTCCTAGCACTAGACATTTTCAATTTTGATCACCACGTGACATTTCAAGACCGTCACAGTAGCAGGCAAAGCAGGTATGTAGACTGGTCTATGGCTTTGTGCTACAACAAGAAAGTAAGACTGAAGTCTCCGTCGTCGTCGTCAAGAGCACGCACTGCTGCAGCGTCACAGGGGCGAAAGGGGGGTTGAGGTGGTTCTCGAAGCTTACACGGCATACTTTTGGCAAAGGGGACACGTGCTTTCCGCTTCAATGTGGGATTATGTCAAGGGTGCAATGATTGAACGTTACCACTGCGACCTGCCAAGTGCCAAGCCATGGCAAGGTGTTGCACCGATGATGGCAGCGGCGCCGCAGAGCTGATCAGCTTCGGCAGCTTGGACACGACAAACTCGCTTTGTATCTGTGTAAAGCAGGCGTTCGCAAGCATGTTGTCCTGCGAAAGCCCTCGTTCCTGGCAGTCGAGCCTAGGGGAGGAAGTTAACTTCGGATGCCAGTCAGCCAGCCTATCCTTGTCGCTGCCAGGCGAGATCAAAAGAAGAATAGAAGAGACGTTGAGACCAAAGGAATGCGCCGTCTCGGATGAGGCCTGCCGGTCAGTGCTCGTAAATGTCCAGGGTGTGGAGCGGTTGGACCGACCATGCATAGCCAGCGGTGGCTTCGGAGTAATCCCGTGACGCACTGCTTTGTGCCTGGTGCAGGTAGAGGACGGAAGGGCTCCGAAGGGAGACGACTCGGCCTGATCGGACGCTCCAAACCACGGGCAGATCACGCCGATCAAGCTCAACACTACTTTCCAAAGCTTTGAGCTCACTCTAACACCAAGCACAACTCACTATCCAAAGAGGAGTCGAGGTCGTCAAGACGATTCAAGACGGCTTCTAAACATGCCAGCGTCATTGATGGCGACAGCACCTGCCCAAGTAGTAGCATACCCATGGATTGGGGTCCACAGTCACTCGCGACTGTCAGCTTTAGTCTCCTTCTCCTCGAGCCGACAGTTCCTCAAGCCAGAGTCGAGAACCCGCAAAACTCCATGAAGCCTGTGACCCAACAATCGAACTCTTTCTGCAGAATGGCCACCACATCTGCATCTAGCTGCAGGGAATAAGCGGATGTCAAGTTGCGCGTGCAACCCACAAGTGACAATGGATCCCAGATCAAACGGAGCCGCAAACCATGGCGGTCATGGCAGAAGCACTGGTAGCTTTCACTGTGTAAGAGCATCAGCTTGGCCTTGCAGTTTCGCCGCGTTTCGCTTGGTGCAGCCCATGGTGAGCATCTCGACCAGAGGTGTCTTGAGCCTCTTTCTGTCCGCAGATGTCGGAGTTGAAAGTTCGTTGGTTTTGCTCCGATGCTGACAACCTTGCCTTTGCAGAAAAAGTGTAGAAGTTTATCTTGTAATGCACAGGCGAGGGAGTCTTGCCACATTGGTGGTGTGGACCGGCTACCTTTCTGTTTCAGTCCGAGCACGCATTGGCGCAAGCGCCTTTTCGCTTTAGAGATGCAGAGACCAGTCCATCATTTTGATGCAGTTCCTCAGTTCATCTGCGCTTGCCTTGAGCGTTCTCTAGGGAGTTTGGGGGAACCCATTTTCCAGCTGACGCCCCTGGAAATGTCCTGCCAAAGGCGTGTCCGCTCTCCGAACGCAGCTGCCGGACTCGCACAGAGTTACCAGCACGGTAATGGCAAGCATAGGGTGCTAGACATGCGTCGCATATTGAAATTATCCCGAGTGCATAAACTCTCTTTATGAACACAAGCTTCTGCAGTCTGGGCCTGGGACAGGATCGGCAGCAACTGATGCTATGAGCTTAGTTGGGTCAAGGTGCCTCGCCTCGGATGTACACAAGACACAGAGGATCTCCGCACTGAGAGGTCAGAAAAGGTGCCATGTGTAACCTGTCAGGGACGGGGGGGGTCGGAATGTGGGGGAATTACACTCAGAACATAGCCGCGAAGCAATTGTGGGTTGCAGCGGACGGTCCTTCAGGTGAGGCAAGGAACATGTCGTTCCTGCACCGTGTCCCCCTGCTATTCATGATGCAGCTTGCCAGATTTGCGCAGCCGCTTGCTTTGCATGGAATCACTGGACTCAAGCACGTAATCGAAGCCAAAGCTAATAAAGCTGTGAGGCCACCTACTGGAATGGGCCCTCGCCTGCGTCCCTACGCCAACACCCCTAGCCTTTGTCTAATGCTGATGTGAACCGCGTTGCACACCGATGCAGCTGAAAGTGGCCAGCCCGTGGCCCAACCTTCGCGGAGTTTACGTGGAGACCGACCGTTTCGAGGGGCGGCCGGCTTACGTGAAGCGCAGCCCGGCATTCAATACGATAATACGCAACACGCGAGACGAGGGCTGTCTCCAGCGTGTTCGCCCCTAAGGAGATGCCTCCGAGACGTGGATATTCTTTTCAGCCAAATTCGGAAGCTCCCCCTGCTGGCAACTCAAGCTGCAAGTCAGGCGCAGCCCGCCTGATGCAAGTTGACGCCTTGGAATTATGCTCTACAGCTGCCGCAAGGTATTTTGCCAAAGACCTGCCGAAGGCAGGGGTTTCTTGTAGTGAGAGCTGGCATACCGCATGCAGCATATCTGCGTGACGTGACTTATTAGCCCGGTGGAGTGAGGCAGGAGCTTTGGAGTCCTTCCTGCGCTCCTCCGATGATGCGGAGTCGCCTCATCTTGCCGAATGGCCGCAGGACGTAACTTTCCTTGGCGAGGAGCAGTCTTCGCAGGCCAGCCTATGCCAGCCTGTCAGAAACACATCTTTGTACCCGCGCCCGCAGGTGCCAGCGATGGAGTCCGCGTGCGGTGACTGCAAGGCTTTGCAGGCTGCCAGCCGAATGCGCTTTAATTAAAACTGATACCAATAGAGGTTGCTTCGGCCAGGACCTTGCGGAAGAGCTGCGCTGCCACCACTGCTGTCCTGAGACAGAGCATGCCGTGAAAGCTTTGTCGGCCTGGCTTGTTCAAGAGGAGGACATGGCTGTTGCGAACAGCAGCTAAGCAAACAGCCAGGTCCTTGCTTCGTCCACTTGTTGGTT